GCAGGAATGTTCAGAATACTCTCAGTTTTTTCTAAAGGTCAAAGAGGAACTATACTGGTCATAATAGGAAATAATTGTATCATCCCATGCTCACAAATCCCATTTCCAATTTGTTTGAAAGGACAAAATATTTCAACTGATTTCTAGAGACAACTAATGAGACTTTCTGAAGTTGAACACTTGCAAGCTCCATTTAGAAACTAAACTAAGAAAGCTCTGAGTATTCTCAAACAATATTGACAGAGACTCAATGAAGAATGTTACAGACCTAAACCCAAGATATATGCATGTATTCAATGCAAACTCATAACATGACTTTAAGGGCAAAACACTAGAGGTGGCTACAGCAAAGAAAAAGCTATTTCTAGGACCATAAGACATTACAGTTCAGGTGTATGCATGCCATTTACATGCTACTAATCCAATCTGTAACTATTAACAGCCCAGGGAACTTCCAGAAACAGATATAGGTCTGTATCTTTACCAGTGCATAGATTCTTCTTCCATGAGCTTGTCCAGTCTCTCAAACTCAGGAAAGTTTCTTGCATCCAGGCCATCTTTTGGCAAGGAGTACCTTATGTTTTATTACTCACTGCAAGAACTCTTCCTTCCCTTTGTTTCACCTGGTTACACCATTAGCTTTGCTTAAAAGCCCAGAGCTCTCATACTGGAAAAGACAGTTTACACCATCCGCTCCTGCCAATCCTGATTTTGCAGAGCTCTTACATCCTCCTTTAGTTACTTCTCTTGCACACAGAAGAGTACCAGCCTACTCCATTGTTCCTCATATGGAGATCATTCCACATGGACCAATCATCCTTGAAATCTTTCTCTGAACCTTTCCAGTTTTAGTTTTTAAGATGAGAACAAAACTGGACACAGTAATCAAGGTCTGGTCAAAGACAGGATTTATACAGCAAAGATGTTTTCTGGTTTGCTCCTTATTTTTTTTTTCTAGAAACTCCTAGTATTTGTCATTTTTTTCCTCCGCTGTTACTGAACACTAGTTGACGTTTTCATAGTGTGGCTGTAGCTCTTACCTCTCACTCAAGCGGAAATGGTTATTTCAGAGTCTAGTATTTTCTACAAAAAACAGTATTGTTTTTCCCAGAATCCCTTACATCGCATTTATTTTCACTGAATTTCACTTGCTATCTTATTTGTCCACATATGCCATTTCATAAGGCCCTTCTGCAATAGTTTAGTCTGCTGCCATCCTGACTACCTCTAATAACACAGTGTAAATATAATCAACTGACACTTAATCATCTCCTTTTTTGCCCACTTTTCCTGGCAGTTAAAAGGACAGAACTTTGGCATTGTTAACACCAACAATGCATTTCACACACACAAAAAGACATTTTCAGCATACTAACTGATACCTGTGAGCAAAAATCAGTACTCAACTAATTCTTTATAGCCTTGCATAATTCCTTATGATCTTGTATAAAGGAAATAAAATCCTCAAAAAACCCCCAATCAGTATCAGTAAAAGGTACACATCAAAGTCTAAGTCCTCTGAGCAAGGTGAGAAGGTGATAGCTGTATTGTGATACACAACCTATTCTCAGCTGTCAAACAACAAAGCTTCCTCTATCAGATCATAGCCCACTTGTTTTAAGGGTATTACCTGGGTAGGTGTAATGATAGGAACACCGCCAACAATTTCTGTCCTGTAAGAGACTTGCTTCTTTCCACCCGGGCTTTCAGCTTGACGATTCGCATTATCCATTTGACAGAGAGGATCAGACTGCTTTGGTACCTGAAAGTGGAATATGATAATTAACAGAAGCTTTATGAAGACCTAAAAAAGCCCTAATCATTACTCAGGAATTTTTTATTTGCCTTCAGCAG